CAAGGTTGACATAGTGTGATGCTAAATAGTTGATAGTCCTAGAGTTTGACACTGTGTGACACTAAATAGCTGAGAGTACTAGAGTGACTAACAGTTGTAGTATAACAGTTGTAGTATATATAGTAAAAAAGTTCTTTTACTATTAAGTATTAACTAACAGTAGTATATATAGTAAAATAGTTAATAGTTAAAAAGTAAGTTGATGATTAATAGTTAATAGCTGAAATTGCTATTAATAGTTGAAAATTGATATTAATAGTTAATAGTTGAAAGTTATAAATCTTAGTTAATATGAATCATATTTAATAGTTGAAAAGTGAGTCAACAGTTGAAATTAATAGTTAATAGTTGGAATTGCTATTAATAGTTGAAAATTGATATTAATAGTTAATAGTTGAAAGTTATAAATCTTAGTTAATATGAATCATAGTTAATAGTTGAAAAGTGAGTTAATAGGTAGAAAAAAGTTTTTGTCAAAGGAAAAGACTGACCGGAAATGAGTTGATTTGACTTTTAAGTTTTGTTATGATTTTGAATTAGGCTAGCGGAGGAGCTCGCCCGAAGGGCGAGCACCTTCGCTAGTAATAAAAAATTTTATGTACAGTCTACACTTGTAAAAATATTTTTAAAGTACTGTAGCCCCCATTTCCCGTTGATTTTCGAGATTTTGGATCACGATGAAAAAAGCACTTACAGACTTCGTTCTTTTTTATTTTCCACTTATTATCAATGAAAATGTTTGCACGAATTTTTATAGAATTTTTCAATCATTCCTTATGTGATTTCTGAAGGTGAACTTATAGTTATGTGGAGGGTGTTTTTTGAAAAAATTGGATAAAAAATTTTTAGATGGAAATTTTTTCGATTTCTCGGGTTAATCTGAATTGCTACCCGCTTTAATAATTATAAAATAAAATTCAGCCCGATTGATTCGATAGAAGCTAAGAAAAACGAAAATTTAGGGTGAACTTATAGTTATGTGGAGCAGTGTATAACGATTTTCGGGTCATAACTATGTATTTGTTAATCAATCAGATAATAATTTTTAAAAATTTCAAAAATATGTCTAACTTGTAAGCTTCTAATTTTGGAACAAAATTCTAAAAAAGTTTCAAACAGCTAATATTCTATAAGATACAGTCGAATCTTGATAATATGACAACCTCTAGCTCGAATTAAGCCGACGTTCTCGGGACGTGTACAAGTATCTGGAGGCAAGCAAGTTAATTTTTGAAATATTTTGGATTTGAAAGTTGATTGGTTGGTCTGACGAAAATCAAACAATTTTTTGAATTAAAATTTGGTTTTATAAATTTCACTATCTTTAGTAATAAATGAGATTCGATTTAATTAATAGAATTTAAAAAGTTCCATTATTATTTTTACTAATTTTGATAAATTTTAAAAATTTATTTTTTAAAGGAAAACTAAAAAATCCAATTCAAACTGAAGAATTAAAAATTCGTTTGATAACAACATTTCAATTGAGAGGAATTTTAGAAATTTATAAACCTTTAGCTAATAAATTTAATTATTTTAATGAAAGCAATGAAAATAAATTAAAAGAAATAATTAATAATTTGGAAGATTTTGAAGAAATATTTGAAGATTTAAATGAAAAGAAAGGAATTAATACAAAAATACCAAATTTTATGAAAATAAATGGAAAGAATTTAATTAAAAAATTAATTAAAAATAAAATCGAAGTTGAAATTATTAAAGTTTCGGTAGAAGAAAATAAAAAATATATTGTAGGGAATATTGAAGAAATTGATGATTGGCTTAAAAATAAAATGAAGAATTAATTAGTGAATGAGGAGGAAATATAGTTGAAATTAGAGACCGGACTGGGAGGGTTGAGATCGATATCACGAAAAATATCGTCTCGATAACCGAGATTTTTTTTCGAGATCTCGTCTTGGTCCGATCTCTAGTTGAAATTATTTAAAGAAAATTTGTTTTTAAGTATATTTAAATCTATATCTTGTAAAGCATATAGCTATTTATTTCCTAAAGCTGCGCAGTAGGCGGCGTGGTGTAATGAATAAACATCAGTCCGGTCTACTAAAGATGCTGGCTCGCTCCCAGGATCCGAATAACCTATTGCACTAGCTGAAGGAGAGAAATAGCTATAGCCCAGCTGCTTTACTGAATTAAATTCTTTAATGGTTTTGGGTTATACAGGTAAAATCGTAAAATATGCCCATATTTTGGTAAAAATAAGCAAAATTTGCACAACTGCGCATTTCTCGACCTACATAATAGTATAGCAAAAATTGAAAACTCTAAGTTAGTGGCAGACGGCTTTACTTTTTGCTATTTTCTGAAATGGGGTTGGACGCTATATTAAATATTAAGCAAAAAATTTACAAAATACTGGAATTTAAATTCTTTTAAATTTTTATTTTTCATTTAAAAAAAGTATATAAAATAGTTTGCATTTGATAAAAAAATATTAAATAATTGAGCCATTTGAAAATAACAAATATTTTTTAAATTCCCGTTTTGTCAACTAATTTAGTATTTGAACTGGCAGGTCTAAAAAATTATAGGAAATTTTATAAAAAAAATTTAGAATAAAAAATTAAATCCAAAAAAGTTTTTAATAAATCCATAAAAAGGGGTTGCCTGAATTCAGAGGAAATTAATGTTTCTTTGTTTTATACAAATTTGGGTACTTTTCCGTTAATCGACCGCAAACTGAGTAACAGCCGAATTTGAACAGTTATGACTTTTTTAAGCTTGATCCAATACAAATGAATTTTATATCATTCGAAAGCCCTCGATAAGTTCTATCCTTTACCCAACTGTATAGATCAGGTCTGATCACTCATAGAAAAGTTATATCCCGACAATAGTGAAAAACAACGATTTCTTGCACTTATCGACTTGTAACTTTTTTATGAGTGATCAGACCTGATCCGCACATTTGGGTAAAAGATAGATCTTATCGAGAGCTTTAGAATGATATAACATTCATCTGTATTGGATCAAGCATAAAAAAGTTATAACTGTTTAAAGTTGGCTAATACTCAGTTTGCGGTCGATTAACGGAAAAGTACCAAATTGGTAACATAAAGTAAATGCTCAATAATTACCCAGCTTAATAATTACTACAAGTTTTTCTTAAAAAATAAATTACATATAACGAATATTTTAAAACGGAATATTTTAAGGATTAAAGTCAATCATATTCCTTTCAGTCATTTCATTCAACCAATTTGACAATTCCTTTTCAATGCCCGGATGAGAAACTTTACGACCGCCTCCTGCCAGTCTCTTACGATTTTGTCCACCTGTTAGGCTATTTTGTTGCTCAAGTTGTTCAAGTTCCTTTTCACTGTTCATCCAATTTCTAATTATTTTTCGATCAACATCAAATTTTCTTGAGGCTGAATGAATAGAATTTTTCTTTGCCCAATCAATTGCTTCGAGTTTTGTTGACACGTCATGACTCCTATAACACTTTTTAACTCGAGAAATTTCTGACTCATTTTGAATTTCAATTCCTTCATTTTTTGGCGTCATTGTTCTAAAAATAAAAGAAACAGAAGGTTAAATATACACATCATGGTTCGGACATATCGAGTAAAATATTGAGTCGGATTTCGACTCAAAAAGGATGCTTTCGGGTTCATGGCTATACGTCTGAACCCTGATATATGTACATAACATAAAATTACACCAAGAATTTGTGTAAATTGCAAAGGTTGTTAGATGAAAATATCAAAATACAAATTTTAAAACAATTTTCTATACTATGTACACTAGTGACCGGCGCCGGACCGGATTCGGTCGGAATTTTCCGGAGTCCGGATCCCAAATCCGGGTTTTTTCGTTATCTCCGGATTTTTTCCGAACCGGACTAATCCAGAAAAATTCGGCCGGATCCGGTATGAGTGTGAAATCCAAAATGCCGGTCATTTTGTTCTTTTGCCGGTCACTAATGTACACCTAACAGTGATTACCCTAGGTAATTATTTGAGCATTTACAATACCCGAATATTATTTTTTGTTCTTTCTATTTTTAATAAATTGAAAAATATTTCTCACATTTCTTCTGTTCCACAAGAAGAGCCTTCAATTGTATCAGAATTAGCCCCATCAAATTGTTGTTCCTTTTCTATAGCAGCTAATAATGAAGTAAGAGTTTCTCTACTAGCACATTCTCCCCCTCCTCCATCTTCTAACTTTGGTTGTGATGTTGAAACATTCCCTTCTTTTTCCAACTCCTTCCCTTCCTCCTCCAAAAGTACATCTTCCAAATCCCCAAATTCACTCCCTCCGCAAACTGAAGAAAATACGGAACTTCCTAAAATAAACCAAATTACTTTTGAATATTTTACAACAAACACACCCAAATTATTTTTTAAATTTCTCAATTGAGAATTTTCTTCAAACGACGAATCCTTGTCAAAATGAATTTTTGAACTTTGTATTAAAGCCATAGCTCTAGCCAATTTTCCTTTCAAAGTTCGATTCTCAGGTGAATTGCTACTTAATTATTTGAAAATAAATTTTAATAAAATATTTTGGCTATAGTTTAGGACATGCGCTCCCATGAGCTTTTAAGCGTCCCAAAATTAGTATATAAGTCCCGTGAGAGTATATGTGTCCCAAAAAGCGAATATGCGCCCATCAGAGAATATGATTTCCATATCATATATGAGCTTTCAAATTCCTCGATATCCCTCTCGAATCCCAAACGTAGTTATCTCTTAATCGACCCAAAACCACTTAATATTTACAAATCCATCGATATCTCTGTTAATCTCACTCCTAATTTCTCTATATTCATGTAACTCAACTTGACAGCACCACAATCGAAATTTTGAGATTTTGGTAGGATTAGCACTCAGATTTCTTCTATTTTTAGCGCAGAAAGGGATTCCGACGTGTGCCGCTTGTTTATCCTATTTTGGGACTTAAACGCTTAAAAGATGCTTAAAGCTCATGGGACGCATGTCCTAAACTAGAGCCAATATTTTTTCAATTTTCTTTTACTTTTGAGCCAAATCCAACAAAGACCCATTCATTGAAACAGACTGACTATTGCGTTGCCATGCAGCTTTTTTCTGTTTAAGAAGAGACGAAATTTCAAGTTGAGCATCGTCCAAAGTCGATTCGAGATTTCGAATTTTACGTTGAAATTGAATTCTATTTATTTTGAATTTATTTTAAATTAAAAAAAATCCAAGCACCTCATTTCCTCCATTTCATCCTCTTTAGCTTCCAATTCTCTCTGTAATTCTGTCCTTTTTCTGGATTCCTTTAAATTTAATTCGAATTGTTGTCTTTCAAGTGTTTCACGGTGATCCATAGATTGATCCAATTGTTCACGCAAACTAGCCAATTCATCATTTGCGCTAGAATAATACATAGGTATGTTTTCAAAGTACCGAATAGTTTTCACCATATAACATATATGCCCAATTAATTACCTTCTTTAATAATTACTCCCTCATACGCAGATCTTTAAAATGTTGAAAAAATCAGTCAATTATAACTATTGAAACAGTTTATTAATCAATATCAAAAAAACCTCCTCGATTTAAATATATGTACCCTAAATCTAGCACCTCCTCACGAATAATTACCTCCTCCGGCGAGAGGTCGAAACAATAACTACACAGGGTAATTATTCGAGCATATATGTATGGTAACGAAAGGTATATTCCTCATTTAAAATTAAAAGAGTTACTTTTTAAGTCTCTTCTCTAAACGCTCATTTTTTGCATTTTTAACATCAATCTCTAAACGTGCATCAAGCAACTCATCAACAGTCTTTTGAAGTTTGTGCTGAGAAGTGCGTTCACGATCGAGAGCATCATTTAACTGTTTACGAAGTTCAATTGTCTAAATTTAGAAATATTTTTGAGAATATAGAAACTATTTAATAGACTAGGGAATGTAAAATTCGAACAATGACACCGTATTACCTATCTTGAATAATTATCTCCCGCTCTATTAATTACCTCTTCCAGCGAGAGGTCAGAACAAAAATACCACAGGGTAATTATTAGAGCATATACGGTAGTTTCGTTAATAGAATCCGTCAAAAAAATTAGATTTTTCTTATATATTCAGCAACATCTTCATAATTTTCCGAATCAAATCTTTGGCACGAAACAAGATAAAATTTATTTACCCTCGGATCATTCTCCCATTCCTGTGTTGTCGGCATTTGTTTCATATCATTTGTTGCTGTTCCTAGAAAATTTGATAATAATTTATTTATCGTTACTAAATAAATCAAAAAAATATTTTTTACAAATTTGAAGAACATTAAAATTTTTTATTAATTTTTTATGTTAATAATCATTTAAAAATTATTATTTTATTATCTGACAATTCAGTTTTTATTTTCACTTGCAATCACAATATACACACAAATTAATTAAATAAACACATTTACTAATTATAATGAAATAATGATAACTAGGGTTGTCGGCTCTGGACCGAACCGAATCGAAGAACCGAGGATTTTTCGGTTCGGTTTCGGATATCCGAAGAATTTTCAGGAACCAACAACCTATCGAGAACCGAGAAAAATAAACTCAAAACTTTTTAAAACCAAAATGGCTATAATAGAATAAGGACACAGGATAGAGGGATAATATAAAGGGATAATTAAAGGAGCCATTAAGTATTTCAATTAACCCCCACAACTCCATTTTATAAAAATTTTAATCAAACCACAGCCATGCTGTTCACTAGTAAATTCTGTGTTGATTGGCAATTGAAGAAAAAAATCAAGTTGGGACTTTTCTCTAATTAAAGCTGTCCCTCCAAAAGACGAAGAAGAAACATTATTTATTTGATTACTTGATGAATTCTTAATTAATGCATCAGCAGATTGTTGTACTGCTGCTAATGAAGAGGAGGGTTGAGAAGGATCATATGAAGGGAATTCTGAATAATAGAAATTCTATTTTCAGAAAGAACAGTTGAATATGTAATGAATTGAAATCTTGTTCAAATTTATGTACCTCATGAAATTGTAAAACGATTTTTTTTGTCTTAATTTGACGTTGAGTTCTGTATCACTCATGTGTTATGGACCTAAACCACTGGAATTTTGGCTAGCTAATAAATTTTTTAATAAAAATGCATAATTATTGCGCTATAAATAGATTAACAGGTCAAAACAAAAAACGTTACAGAACACAACCCAAATTATAAGAACAAAAGAAAATCCAAAACAATCGGTTTTTAGCCTCCAAAATTACATTTTAAATGTTTTTTTAATATTTATTTGAAATTAGCTGGGAAGAGTATAACCCTCACTCCTAAATATGATTTCTCAGCCCCAACGGATATTTAACATCAAGATCCAACTGTATACAACTTTATGGGACGCATAAATCTCCACGAGACGCATAAATTTGACAAGAGTCGAAAATTCTGACATATCAAAAACTTCGTGTCCAAGTCACGAGGAAGGGAATTTATTTAAAAAAAAGTATAATCTACCTTCCCACTCTTTCTTCAACAGATCTAATTTAGCTGTACGTTCATTGTCCTTACAGCTTTCATTGTTTGGATCAAAAAATCCTTCAGTCGAATAAAGTTCTCCCAATTCTGCGCCATCACTAGTATCCTCTAAATGAGGGCGTTTTATTGGAATTTCAACGTTAAAGTTATCCTGTGCTGATTCAAGAAAAGGAGGTAAATTGTTGTCAGAATGGGAATTGATAAATTGCTCCAAAGTTGAATATGAAGAACAATTTTGAGGAGAATTGGGAGTCTCATCAGCCTTTGTAAGGTTTGGAGGCTCTTTAATTTTTATTAAATTAAAGAATAATAAATTCTATAAAATACCCCCATCTCCAATAAATGGTGGGAGAGAAAGAGCAAATGGAAATTGGGGAGTTTCAAAACGGCGTTTCCGTCCAGAATTTACAGCAGTTTCCCCATAAGTTTTTGCAATATCACAACGAGATATTTTTGGAACGATAGGAACTCCGCGAACATTAGTTGGTGGTGGAGTAGTGGAAGAAGTACCGACAACATCACCTCCAATTGCCCAGCTAAAATAAAAATAAAATATTTTTTGATTTGGGTATAGCAGAAGACAGACCCATGAACTCCAGTCCCTCCAGTCAATGGACCATATTTTTCAGATGGAGGGTGATTATGATGAACAGTTAAAAGAACAGGTTGCCCCTCCTCATTTCCAATAGTAACAGCACGTCCATGGCAGCCTGTTAACGAACTACGTCTCTCACAACGCCAATAGGTTCTACGTCCATCAACACTAAGGCGATGTTTTGTGTACGCAAACCCCTAATAAAATTAAATTAAGTGTGTAAAATGGACGTTTTCATCTACCTACAAAAAACGTATTTTAAATCTTTTGGATCCTAATAGAGGTGGGTTGGAATTCCGATTTTCGACGTTATTTCCTTCCGATTTCCGAAAAAATTTTAATTTCCGATTTCCAAGTTCCGACTTTTGAGCCAGTTCCGATTTCCGGCTCTTCCAATTTCCGACACTTCTGACTGTTATGACACACCTCTGGATTCTAACACGAATCTTAAAAAAACAAATATAACAGTGAGCAACATTTGAATTGAAATATTATAAGTACAAAGGAAAAATAAAGGGAAAAAATGATAAGTACCAACAGGCTCTCAAAACTTTAATTCAAAATTAAAAAATAATTTGGCGTTTAAATGCCCTCACATCATCTGTTTCTTCTTTGTTGTTGAAAGAAATAGAATGTCTATGTTTAAATTTTTCTAGCCATCCATCCGAAGCTTTGAAATTTTCAATATTTAGTTGTTTTGCAATTTCAATTGCCTTTTCCTTTAATCGGAGAATTTAAATTCATTGTCGAAAATTCATTATTAACCTTCAGAATTGGGCCTGATAAAGGAGAACCTCCTTCCCTCGTTGTTCTGACCCAATCAAAGATAGCATTATCAAGATTTTCATTCTTTACTGGTTGGATACAAGAACGCTTCTCTTCTGCTCCCCTTTCAAGAGCTCCGAGAATTATATTTTTACTTTGAAGAATTGATCTAATAGTCGAAGATGGAAGATCGAATAGTTTCCCCACTTGTGAAGAAGTTTTTCCAACAGACGTTTCAATAATACGTCTTTTAGTTGCAAGTGTAATAAGAGTGCGTTTTCTACGGTGTTTTGAGAGTTTTAATGGTGGGGATGCATCGGGAATAATATCTGCATCTAGAGAAGTTGACATAACTAGTACAGAATTAAATATTAACTGATTTAATCATACTTTCCGTTATGTATATAGGGTAAAAAAACATGCTGAGTCGAACAGTACCATTCTTTTTCACCGGAGATGTCTATGGACCGAGATATAGGGCTCGAAATGGTCAAAAACCATAGAGGGAGTAAGCTTATTTTTGGGGTAATGGTTTTTGACCATTTCGAGCCTTATATCTGGGTCCAAAGACATCTCCTGTGAAAAAGAGTGGTCTGTTCGACTTAGCACCTTTTTTACTCTATATATGACATTTTGAGCATTAATTTAGGCGGGTGTGGCATAAATGAAAAGTACCATAAGAAATAAAGTAAATTTAGGTTAAAGTGACGGTATAATATGGTGAAAAAATAAAATATAAACGGTCCTCCCCACTTAAAATTTGAAGGGAGTCATCTGAGAAGGGTTTTAATAAAATAGAAATATGTATGTACACAAAAATCTGTTTCATGTTAAAAATAAAATGACAAAGCCGACAAGAGTGGGGAATTGTCGATTGTTAGGTAAACACACAATACTTTAGCAAGAAATAAAAAGGAATGTGAGAAAGACACAAGTAAGAGAGAATATATAAAACAGTGAGGAGAAATGACAAAATGTTCGAGAAAAATATACATCCGTCATCGGACCGCGTCGCAGGAGATTTTAATAGCTGGCTGTTTAGTTTGGAGAGGCATAAGTGATGTAGTCGGGAAAAGAGGTGACATAGAAAGGTATCTAACAAATAAAATACCCGAGCATTTGAAAAGAAAAAAAGTTCCTTACTTTTTCGTCATTAAGGATATTTTCCACAAGATTCACTGAAACATGCCTCTAAGTATGCCTGTCACGTTACCCAATATTACCAAAATGAAACATTTCCTTACTTTTTCGTCTTCATCCGTTTCAGGCTTTTGTACCCGACGCCCAGCACCCGGAAGTCTCAATTTTGCCCCTTTTGCAGTCACATTTTTAAATTCTCGAAGTCTCTCTTCTACAGCAACCCATTGAGAGATACATTTTCGACTAATTCCAAAATGTCTTGCAGCAGCATGTCTCGAAGTTTTCTTTGCATATTCAATTACTTCTAATTTAACATCTATTGGGTATGATTGGCGTTTTTTCTGGCTATTTGACATTTCCGGCAAAAATTCCGGATCGTCTTCGGACATGTCATGTTTTTCTTCTTCTTTTGGTGATACTGGGTTTTCTGCTGTGTTTGAAGTTTTAATTGGAATAAATCGAATTTTATTATTAGATGGATTTTCCATTAAATAAATCTTTATCTAAAAGACAAAAAAAAGAAAACCAAAAATTTAAATAACAAAAAAAATACAAAATTCGACAAGAAAATAAATAGAATGAAAGTAGGCGTATTTACTCAAATAATTACCCTGGGCAGTTAATCTTTCGCAGATGGGTTAATTAATAGAGGTTGGGTTATTATTAGAGGTTATTTGAGAAAGGCTATTTTTAAGGGAGTAATTAATATTTTTTAACCTCTGGCGGGGGGGGGTAATTATTTGAGTGAGGTGATATTTGAGTGAATATGGTAGATACATACATATACGTATAAGGATTAAAAATTATTGAAATGAGAATGCTGTTAACAATAAAACATATGTGATTATTAAGTTAGTAATTTAGATAGAGATCACGAAAATGCTAAGTGAACGCTTGCCAAAAAACTTCAAGATAAGGAATAAAACAGCCAAAATACTACCTCCTTATCTTGCTCACAACCCTCAATATCCGTGTTGATAGCCCCATTCTCCAGTTCTACATTGGTGAATTTAATAGAGTAGCGGGCACGAAATCGAACAAGCCATCCATTACTCGCCACAAATTTATCAGCTTTCCCAGGAAATTGTTTAGAGAGTTCCAAAGCTTTCTTCTGTAATTTTAAGTTCCTAAAAATTTTCCTGATTTATAAGCAAGCCTTAAGTATTTGGCCATCGAATGAAATATTTTTAGAGTTTTGAATATTAATCCATTCCAACAAAGCCTCATCCAAAACTGAATGTCTGTAAAGTCTAGCTCTGCTTCCAATTGCTCCCTTCTCTATAGCATTTAAAATATTCTGTTTATTTTTCAGAATCATTAATACAGTTGTTCGATCCAAGTTGTATTTTCTGCACAATTCACTGTTTTTAAGACCATGTTGAGAATCATCAATAATGTACTTTTTTGTCTCCAAACTTATTACCTTGCGTTTGGCAGCCATTTTATTTTTAATGGTATGGGGAATGAAGAGAATGAGTAAAGATCTTAACTAGGACAATGTTCGCTATAGAGAGATACAGTAGGAGGTATTGATTTATTTGTAACGAGAGAAAGTCCTTCAAGGTAGTCAATCTAAATTTGTGGGTAAAAAAATTCCGGTCAAGAAAATATACATACATATTCCATGAGCTACTAAAGAAACTTAAGGGGTACAGCCCAAGTAGGCGAGCGGTCATAATGGCGCAAAACCATTACTTACTTCAAGATTTCAGAATCTTACTAAATTTAGTAATAAACGATTCCTCTCATCGAGCTAAAGAGATTGGTACCAAAATTGCTAAGGGCCAGAAGTTTTCCAGCAATTTATGGCTTTGCGCCGTTATGGCCTTGCGCCTACTTGAGTGTATACCTGCTTAAGAGCCTATGAAATAGAAAAACAAAATCAGATCAAGACATGACGGATATGAAAGATGAACAACATTTTATTTATAAAATAACAAGATTTATATAAGGTTTATGGGGGAGGTAATACTACAACGAATAATCGATTTAAGAGGCTCCTCTATAATATTGCAGCAGCACTAAAAATAAAGGCAAGCGAAAATGAATGTAGAAAGGGGAGGAAAAAACTAAAAATGTGAAGCTATATACAAGTACTGGCTGGGGTTAAATGGAATGAAATTGGTCGTCAAGCAAAGTAAGGTTACGGTAATATAGGCGAATTGTAGAGTCGCGGAATTACCACATAATTTTACTGAAATTTATGTATTATTTTTGGGGCAAAGTATTTCAGTGTATTTTGAAATTAGTTCTTCAAGAAATGCTTTTTAAGATTCGTGAATAGAATATTCTGAATTTTACAAAATTTTAAATTTCTACACTTAACCATTACAGTAGATGGAATGCCACCATAAAAAATTTATTATATGGGTAATTATTAGCGAGCGGGGCCGGACTGGATTTTTCCGGAGTCAGGGTCCCAAATCCGGAAAAATCCGGTCAGATTCGGTCCGGTATAGGTTGCAAATCCAGATCCAGGTCCGGAAAAATCTATTTTTCTCCACACTAGGAATTATCCACCCCCCCCCCCCCCCCCAGTCCGCGTTTCAGTTGATGTATGATATCATGCTTAAAGCTCCCCCCCCCCCCCCCGCTTACAACTTGAAATTAAAAATTTGAAAAGAAATTTTAACCCACCTCATATACCAATTTCCTTGCACCTTGTTGTGATTTTGTGAATCTGGACATGTAGTACTAGCAGAAAATAAGAAATATAACAGCTTGGTAATAAAAAAAGTAGAATATTTTGTCTAAAAAATTATTTGTCCCTAAATTGTTGAAATAGAAGTTGAGAGGTGTTTATGTTTGGTATTTGACCAATCCTTGATTTTTGGAATTAAAAAAGGGTAATAGGAGTGAATAAAGATAGATGGGAACGAAAGTTTTGTCGTGGACGTTAAATAGACCAATGAAATCAATTTACGCGCGCCCTAGATTCGTTGCTAGCATTGGGGACGGCGTAGAGAATACACACAATTCTTCTCTCTATAGTGGTACCTTTATTTGTTAGTGTCTGCTCTCTTTTATTGCCTCTCTAGTAATGATAGACCATAAAATGGTAAGGCGTACGCGTCCCCAATTCCACCCAATTCCCTCGTTGAAGGGTTCCAGTTTCTTCCGTCTCCGCACAATTATCAACCATATACTTATTATAATTAGGAAGGGTAAGGGGTCTGGTGGTTTTTGAACACCTAATAGCAGAAATTTATTAAATTTTTGTCTCAAGCAGCACATAAATTTTGAAACACGCAAAATATAGGACCTACAACAAACATTGTTTTTAACATAAATTCAATACAATTTCAAATCCAAACTTTTCAAATTTATTTTTTTAATTTCTTTTATTTTTTTTAATTCTTTTTGAGTTTTTAATTTTTTTTAAATTTTAATGTTCTTCAAATTTTTATTTAAATAATTAAAACCGAATCTCGATATCACGTCTCTTCCATTTTTATCAGAGGTGGGTCGGAATTCCGAGTTCCGACTTTTGAGTCAGTTCCGATTTCCGGCTCTTACAATTTCCGACACCTCCTGTTCGACCCACCTCTGCTTTTTAGTCTCACAATTCGGTCCCGAGGGATATGTTTTAACGAGATTGAGAGATTTAACGAGATCGAAACATTTGAGACTTACATTAAAGTAACGGCTTATCAAGATTCGATTTAATCTGTAATTTTTTAACCAAAAATTACCGTTTATCTGCTCGGTTGTTTTAACAGATTTTTTTAGTTTCTCTTCAGCCTCTTTTAATTCACCCATTAATTTTTTATTAATTTGCCCAATTTCTTCTGACCACTTTTCTGCAATTTGTTTGGATTTTTGGGCTGATTCTAATTCTAGTTGAGCTCTAGAATGCTCTGAACGGAGCTCGTCTAATTCTAACTCTAATTGTGCCAAATGTTCTTTCATGAGACGTTCCCTTGCATCAACACTGAGGAAATTTTTTTGGAATTATTAAAAAAAATTTTTTTTTGGAACCTAGCTGCAGGAATTAGTGGCCTTATATAAACAAATAATTTCCACCATTTTGATTTGTTTAAATCCCGCCACCGTTCAAAATTCCATTGAATTATTCGGATAGCTTCGTCTTTTTCCCTCTCCTTTTCCATTCTTTTTGAAATTAAATATTTACGGCAATTTGCCTAAAATTTGTTTTATTCAAATTTACAAATAAAAATTTTTCTCTCAATTTCCACAATAATTTTTAATTTAATTAATTACACAAAAAAGCTTTAATTGCGAAGATTTTAAATATTTACTAGAGACACAGAGCCTTCTAAGACCGATAAATTTCCAAGACTCAAGACTATTTTTTGGTCCCATAGGGCAAATTTTTGGTTAATCATTCGTGTCTTACAATTAGACACGAGCATATAAAAATTCATAGACTATATGAAATATAATCAAAATTCGGAAGAAACACTGAGTTTTAGGACCTAAAAACTTCGTTCTTGGGTTATAGGGTGTTATTGAATCTTGTTATTGAATCTGGGTCTCGCGATTTAATCTTATTATAGAGTCCAGAAAATTTTTGGTCGTGTAGGTCTCTAATATTTACTAACAATTTATTTAAAATATACATATATTATCCACCTGAAATACACTTAAAACAGGTAGTAGCACAACAGAACGTTTGTTCTCTAGCTCCTCAAGGAGTTCTCTTAAAAATTATTTAAATTAATATATTGATAATATTTTGGATAATTATTTAAAAGAATTTATTTTAATATCCACCTTTGTAACAAAATCTGTGACAATCCAAGCCTGTAACGATGCTCTGCAATACCTGCCCTTTTTAATATCCTTCTGACATTTTCTCGATCATTAATTGAATTATTATTATTAATATTCTCTTCCTTTTCTTCAGAATTTTTTTTAATAAATTCTTTGTTCTTCAATAAACAATGAAATGAGCGGATAAATGAAGAAAAGGGCATTCTTTCTGGGTAACCTTTTTTGGAAGAAAATTATTTTGGGGTTTTTTATTGAAGAAAAATAATGAGAAATTAATATTTAAAAAATCTAACAAAAACTATTTCGACACTAAATCTTTAAAAATTCAAAATCTTACCACCCAAACTTGAGGGGCGAATCATTGGAGAATAACTTTTGTTATTAGCAAAAATACAATTTGTTAAATGAGAGTGTGGAGAATGTGGGGAAGTTGAAGATGATATATTTCCAGTTGGAAATGTTGATTGTGGAGAGTGTGGAGGAATCTGAAATTTAATTTTTCGGTTACTAAAAATTTAAAATGTGTTAATTTATCTTACCTATAACCCCATGGTCCTATCTGATAATTAAAAAATCTTTTAGAAAAATTGACTGGAACATGAAATATTGAGATAAATAGAGATGCGGTTATAATTTTGGAACAGATTGTAACTCATGTCAGGTTATTTTTTATGTAAAGATAAATCGAAATCCCGATCCCGGCATCTTAAGGTTTGAGGATTTCAGCTGCCTTTTTTCGAAATTTATCGTCTCG